GTCTGGCTCGGGGATTCAATGTGATACGTGTTGGTCTGGATCGGGGATTCAATGTGACAATGTGTTTGTCTGGCGGGGGGATTCAATGTGACAATGTTTTTTGTCTGGCTCGGGGATTCAATGTGATACGTGTTGGTCTGGATCGGGGATTCAATGTGACAATGTGTTTGTCTGGCGGGGGGATTCAATGTGACAATGTTTTTTGTCTGGCTCGGGGATTCAATGTGATACGTGTTGGTCTGGATCGGGGATTCAATGTGACAATGTGTTTGTCTGGCGGGGGGATTCAATGTGACAATGTTTTTTGTCTGGCTCGGGGATTCAATGTGATACGTGTTGGTCTGGATCGGGGATTCAATGTGACAATGTGTTTGTCTGGCGGGGGGATTCAATGTGACAATGTTTTTTGTCTGGCTCGGGGATTCAATGTGATACGTGTTGGTCTGGATCGGGGATTCAATGTGACAATGTGTTTGTCTGGCGGGGGGATTCAATGTGACAATGTTTTTTGTCTGGCTCGGGGTTTCAATGTGATACGTGTTGGTCTGGATCGGGGATTCAATGTGACAATGTGTTTGTCTGGCGGGGGGATTCAATGTGACAATGTTTTTTGTCTGGCTCGGGGATTCAATGTGATACGTGTTGGTCTGGATCGGGGATTCAATGTGACAATGTGTTTTTGTCTGGCTCGGGGATTAAATAAGAAATGTGTTTGTCTGGCTGGGGGATTCAATGTGACAATGTGTTTTTATCTGGCTCGGGGATTCAATGTGACAATGTGTTTGTCTGGCTCGGGGTTTCAATGTGACAATGTGTTTTTGCTTGGCTTCAGGATTCAATGCGACACGTGTTTGTCTGGCTCGGGGATTCAATGCGATACCTGTTGGTCTGGCTGGGGGATTCAATGTGACAATGTGTTTTTGTCTGGCTCTGGGATTCAATGTGACACGTGTTCGTCTGTCTCGGGGATTCAATGCGATACGTGTTGGTCTGGATCGGGTATTCAATGTGACAATGTGTTTGTCTGGCTCGGGTATTCAATGTGACAATGTGTTTGTCTGGCTCGGGGATTCAATGTGACACATGTTGGTCTGGCTCTGGGATTCAATTTTACAATGTGTTTGTCTGGCTCGGGAATTAAATGTGATATTGTGTTTGTCTGGCTGGGGGGTTCAATGTGACAATGTGCTTGTTTGGCTGGGGGATTCAATGTGACACGTGTTTGTCTGGCTGGGGGATTCAATGTGACACGTATTTGTCTGGCTCGGGGATTCAATGTGACAATGTGTTTGTCTGGCTCGGGGATTCAATGTGACAATATTTTTGTCTGGCTGGGGGGATTCAATGTGACACGTGTTGGTCTGGCTGGGGGATTCAATGTGACACCTGTTGGTCTGGCTGGGGGATTCAATGTGACAATGTGTTTGTCACGCTCAGGTTTAATTCTCTGTTCAATATTTTTTATAAAGTTTGGTAATTTGAGTGTAGCTTTAGCCTAAGTATACATCAATCCTTTTATGACAGCGCAAGGGGCCATATATTACGTGCAGTCGGAGGGGGAATGGTGGTTAGTTCAGAAGATGGTACGTGGGGGGGGGGGGGGGGCGTCTTGGAAGAATGTGTACATACATTTATGTACAATAATTACTCTATAACACCGACAGTCCATATATTGCCAATTGATATCTATAATAAAGCCAAATGCTAACTGACATTGCCTGAAGTCCATGGTTTCCAATGATGTCCGGATAACTGTCATCTCAATGTGTCACGATGATCACCGCGATAACTGTCACCGCAATGTGTCACGGTGATCGTCGTGATAACTGTCATATCGCAATGTGTCACGATGATCGCCGTGATAACTGTCATATCGCAATGTGTCACGATGATCGCCGTGATAACTGTCATATCGCAATGTGTCACGATGATCGTCGTGATAACTGTCATATCGCAATGTGTCACGATGATCGCCGTGATAACTGTCATATCGCAATGTGTCACGATGATCGCCGTGATAACTGTCATATCGCAATGTGTCACGATGATCGCCGTGATAACTGTCATATCGCAATGTGTCACGATGATCGCCGTGATAACTGTCATATCGCAATGTGTCACGATGATCGCCGTGATAACTGTCATATCGCAATGTGTCACGATGATCGCCGTGATAACTGTCATATCGCAATGTGTCACGATGATCGCCGTGATAACTGTCATATCGCAATGTGTCACGATGATCGCCGTGATAACTGTCATATCGCAATGTGTCACGATGATCGCCGTGATAACTGTCATATCGCAATGTGTCACGATGATCGCCGTGATAACTGTCACCGCAATGTGTCACGGTGATCGTCGTGATAACTGTCATATCGCAATGTGTCACGATGATCGCCGTGATAACTGTCATATCGCAAAGTGTCACGATGATCGCCGTGATAACTGTCATATCGCAACGTGTCACGGTGATCGCCGTGATAACTGTCACCGCAACGTGGCACGATGATCGCCGTGATAACTGTCATATCGCAATGTGTCACGGTGATCGCCGTGATAACTGTCATGGCAATGTGTCACGATGATCGCCGTGATAACTGTCACGCAACGTGGCACGATGATCGCCGTGGTAACTGTCACCGCAACGTGTCACGATGATCGCCGTGATAACTGTCATATCGCAATGTGTCACGGTGATCGCCGTGATAACTGTCATATCGCAATGTGTCACGATGATCGTCGTGATAACTGTCATATCACAATGTGTCACGATGATCGTCGTGATAACTGTCATATCGCAATGTGTCACGATGATCGCCGTGATAACTGTCATATCGCAATGTGTCACGATGATCGCCGTGATAACTGTCATATCGCAATGTGTCACGATGATCGCCGTGATTACTGTCACCGCAATGTGTCACAATGATCGTCGTGATAACTTTCATATCGCAATGTGTCACGGTGATCACCGTGATAACTGTCACGCAACGTGGCACGATGATCGCCGTGATAACTGTCATATCGCAATGTGTCACGATGATGGTCGCGATAACTGTCATATCGCAATGTGTCACGGTGATCGCCGTGATAACTGTCACGCAACGTGGCACGATGATCACCGCGATAACTGTCACCGCAATGTGTCACGATGATCGCCGTGATAACTGTCATATCGCAATGTGTCACGATGATCGCCGTGATAACTGTCACCGCAATGTGTCACGGTGATCGTCGTGATAACTGTCATATCGCAATGTGTCACGATGATCGCCGTGATAACTGTCATATCGCAATGTGTCACGATGATCGCCGTGATAACTGTCACCGCAATGTGTCACGGTGATCGTCGTGATAACTGTCATATCGCAATGTGTCACGATGATCGCCGTGATAACTGTCATATCGCAATGTGTCACGATGATCGCCGTGATTACTGTCACCGCAATGTGTCACGATGATCGCCGTGATTACTGTCACCGCAATGTGTCACGATGATCGCCGTGATAACTCTCATATCGCAATGTGTCACGATGATCGCCGTGATTACTGTCACCGCAATGTGTCACGATGATCGTCGTGATAACTGTCATATCGCAATGTGTCACGATGATCGCCGTGATAACTCTCATATCGCAATGTGTCACGATGATTGCCGTGATTACTGTCACCGCAATGTGTCACGATGATCGCCGTGACAACTGTCATATCGCAATGTGTCACGATGATCGCCAACTGTCATATCGCAATGTGTCACGATGATCGCCGTGATTACTGTCACCGCAATGTGTCACAATGATCGCCGTGATAACTGTCATATCGCAATGTTTCACGATGATCGCCGTGATAACTGTCATATCGCAATGTGTCACGATGATCGCCGTGATTACTGTCACCGCAAAGTGTCACGATGATCGCCGAACCGTTGCTTGGTGTCTTCACACAGGCACTCGCTAGATCTCTGAACGATGTATTTTGTCTAGTGACACCTTTATGGTTGTACTTATAGTTCCGACCGTGCGTTATGACGTAAGGTGTGGCATACTTAGTGCGTTCAGCTGAAATGCTTCTCAACAACAAGCCCCGCCCAGCAGCACTCGCCGTTCGCGAAAAGAGAGGGGAAAAAAACCGTAACACATCATATTCTTTCGACAAGTTTGACGGTGACTTGGTTAAACTTATTTGTGTGTGTCAATACATTGGACGAAGCAGCGGGTTGGGGGAGGGGGTGGAATAAAAAATGTACGTTGGAACCCAGAGCCGTCGCGGGACTTAAGGAAGCCCCCATGTCACTTGTGGGGAGGGACTATAAACATCTCACTTTCGTGTGTTGTTAAAGTGATGGTGCGTAAAGTCATGGTGCTGGTGCGTAAAGTCATGGTGCGTAAAGTCATGGGGACATATGTTATTATCTTAGGATTAAATGCAGCAAGTCAAACCCTGACCACGTGTCTCTTGCCAGCGTTTGTGGGAATCGGTTGGATGAAACTCTCCCAGCCAAACTGCTTGTCAACCTGGATTGTTTTTTTTTTTCGGCTTTGGGAGAGGAGGTGGGCGGTCCGCAGCTGTGAAAATGTAAACAAATACCGCTTATGTCATCAAAAGGGGAGTGAATGGCAACATCAACTGTGGTCACAAGTCACAAAGCGCAGTCAGTGACAAAGCTGCCGGCCGCATCACTGGTACCAATCGCGGGAAACTAGAAAGAAAAAAAAAGACTTAATTTTTATTTTGGGTTCTCTTGTTGTGAAAATTCTCTTTACACTTGAATGTTAACTGATCTACAGACAATCTCCATAGATCTACAGACAGTCTTCATAGATTAACAGACATTCTCACCAGATCTACTGATTTTTAGACAAATCATCATTGGCAGGTGATGTATAGATCTACTTTTTTAAAAAAGACATTGACTGATAATGCCATATTATCATTGGTTGGTTATGTTAGATCTACTGTTCTATAGACCTATTATCACTGACTGGTACTGTATAGAGCTACTGTCTTATAGAAATATTATTGGTTTGTTGCTGATGTATGTTGTTGTTAGAATGATGGTTGTAGATCTTTATAGTTACCCGAATCTAAATTTATTTTTTGAGACTTCAAATGGTAACAAACTATGACTTAAATACGCCAGCATCTGCTCCAGGATTTAGCCATATCATATACATTTAACACTCAAAATTTCCAAATGACAGCTGTAAGATGCTTGCTGCTCTGTTTGTCATCCTGGGGTTCCTCTTGCTGGCGGAGTCTCGGCTGGATTCACTGAAGACTGTGGAGGAATATATGAACATTTGTTTGGATGGAAATAACCATAAATCTGCACCTGGTCCCATGGATGCTAAAGCGATGGAAAAGGTAAATCAAGTTTAAAGCAGTCAGCTTTGAAAATTATTTTCTTGGTTAAAATTTAACTGAAAGCCGTTTTTTCGGATACGTTCATTACATAGGAATCATCATCATATAACCTTGGTATGTCTAGACCAGCGGTTCTCAACCTTGGGTTGCGACCCCTTTGGGGGACGAACGATCCTTACACAAGGGTTGCCTAAGACCATCGGAAAACACATATTTATGAAGTAGAAACAAAAATGATTTTATGGTCAGGGGTCACCACAACATGAGGAACTGTATTAAAGGGTCGCGCATTAGGAATGTTGAGAACCATTGGTCTAGACATACCAGAAATATTGCTTAGATCAATGTGTTTTGAAACCTTTTTATTGGAAAGGAACCCCTGTGGAGCCACAAGCAGTGACACAAGGGTTTGCTCTATTCCAAAGGCACAAAAGCACCATTGTCCTGTACTTAGTGATGCGTGAAAACATAACACCCATTGACAGATGCATGTGTGTTACATTGTAATTGTAGCCCAATAAAACATAAACTTGTGGGACCAGAATAGCAGATATTACTAGTTCCTTTATTGTTTTATGTTAGCAGATCAATGAGAGAGAAACTATTTGTGTAAATCAAACAATAAAAGTTCAGCTTTAATAATGATGACACGGAATACAAATGTAGATGTTTCACAAATGCCTTCATCAGTACAACAAAAACATTCAGACAAGTATACATTCAATTAACATTAAGATATATATATATAATATAAGTATCTGACCTAAAAAAGAAAAAAAGAATAAGAGTGGGCGCTAAAACAAAGCCCAGAAGAACGGGAAAAAGACATAGCAGCTAAGTAAATTTGTGAATTTGGTTTATACCGTATGGAGTCAACTTACCAAATCTTGTTATGATTCTGTTTTCCATATAAATTCTGTTAGCATCAGTTTGCATTAGTGAAAATTTCAGTGCCCAAATTGTGCGTGGTCAGTTCTACAAAGGTGTTGAATTTGTGGCCAAATGTTCGAGATAGACACCCGAATTTCAACTTCGACCGACAAAAGTCGTTCTCGTTTCTTATGTTGATGGTGGTCAAGACAGAAAATCCGAACAAGCAAGAAGTTGAACACTGCAACTAAAGTCGCACAGCCGCTTCAGTGATAGCCGGGTACTTGTTTTCAGCTATAGCTGGGTACTTGTTTTCAGCTATAGCCAGGTACTTGTTTTCAGCTATAGCTGGGTACTTGTTTTCAGCTAAAGCTGGTTACTTGTTTTCAGCTATAGCTGGGTACTTGTTTTCAGCTATAGCTGGGCACTTGTTTTCAGCTGAAATAAGTCTGCTCATCATATTGTCTGAAATAAGTCTGGTCATCGCATTGTCTGAAATATATCTGCTTATGGTATTTTCAGTTTTTTGGCATAACTGTTATTTATATTTATCTATACAAAAAGGTGGTGGAGACAATGTTAGGCCGGGCAATATTTAAAAGTTAACCTCTGTTATTGTTTGTCATGAACCCAATATATTTATAAGTGATGTTATGTTTTTTAATATAAATAATTGATCTAGATAAAACATTATAAATATCTTGTTCAAAAACACACTGAGCATGTACAGTATTTAATTTGTCATTTTTGTTTATACGTTTTGTGTGGAATGCAAAAGTTGATAGTGCGGGCCATACTTGTTCCAACCTTGGTTTAGAAGGTAACCCGCGGTTGCATTAATTGTACTTGAAGTCACAGGCAAGAGTTTTCATAGATTAACCAGCCCATGGGAAGGGGCTTTTCAAATTTCTTGTTTTTGTTTGCAAAAATAGAATTATTTTTTTCAGTTTTGTACCCCATGGTCTCAACGATCGTGTTGTACAGAACAAGTGGCGCAGGATATGCACATCCATCCTCAGTGGTTGAACTTCAACTGGGACCACTGCAGGCAACTCTCGCCACCCTGTCGGGAACAGTTTCTCATGGATTTGTGTTTTTATGAATGTTCTCCAAATGTTGGACCCTGGCTCATCAAGGTATGAGACAAAAATTGTGTTTTCTCATTTTATAGTTTTAATTAAAAATCTTTGTTGTACATGGCATATTTCTGATTTCCTATTATATTAATTGGTTAAGAACACTATGACAAGATATAGAAAATAAATAAATGCATATATTCATGGTTAAGAACACTATTACAAAATATAGAAAATAAATATTTTCATTGTTTGAAAAACACTATTACAAAATATAGAAAATAAATATTTTCATGGGTTGAAAACACTATCACACAATAAAGAAAATAAATAAATCCATATATTCATTGGTTGAGAACACTATTACAAGATATAGAATGTAAATGTTTTAATTGTTGTAGAGGAGTAATTTAGTAATTTAAGCCAAATCCATTACCGGGGTATTTTATTATTTTTATGTTGAGATTTTTTCATAGAGTTTTAAAAAAAAATAAAATAGTTTATAGTTTTATATCTGATAAAGAAATGTTGCGCTTTTTATATACAAATGATCTTTCAACTTTAATAGTAGTTAAAATTGATAATTGAGGCTTATTACATACCTGATGTTTGTAAATGTTTTGTTTTTTGTTAGATGTTTCATCAATACATAATTATATTTTCAGGATGAGAGAAAGATCAGAAAGGAGAGGTTTCAGAATGTGCCATTGTGTCAGTCTGTCTGTACCAACTGGTGGCAGGCTTGTAAAAATGACTTCACGTGTCTTGACAATTGGGCTGTTAGTTTTAATTGGTCCACAGGTAGGAATGAAGATGGCACACATTATTTAAAGAGTTTTAAGTTTAATAATTAATGGAAAATTTATTTTTGACAGACTACTTGTTGATCCCAGAATATATTATTGCACTATTTCTAATGGTTTAAAATTAGGTTAACGGAATATTTTTAAAAGTTTTCAATGATGTCATGAGGTTTAGTGATGAAGGCATTTTGCAGAGACATCTACATTTGTATTGTGCCATCTACATTTGTATTGTGCCATCTACATTTGTATTGTGCCATCTACATTTGTATTGTGCCATCTACATTTGTATTGTGCCATTTCATTAAAGCCCAACTTCACTGTATACCACCTTTATATGCCAACACCGTATGCCAACAATGTATACCAATTCAAAAAATGTTATTTTTCTTTAATCTAATTGTGCATTATCTTATTATTTGTCATTAAATAAGACAGAAAGACTGGGCCACATCACCCAGCCAGACACTAGTTCCTAAAGTTTTGCTAGTTAAGATGGCCAGACACTAGCTCCTAAATTTATGCTAGTTAAGCCAGACAGACATTAGCTCTTAAAATTATGCTAGTTAAGCCAGCACGATACTAGCTCTCAAAATTATGCCAGTAATCCAGATGTAGTGATTGGTCAGGGTTTCGTTTGTCTGGCTAACCCAAGGTCACCTAAGGGTCAGAACAGCCTCCAGAATAATCTGCAACTGAAGACATCTAGCAGATGGGGTGGGGTGATGGTGGGTATCTGTAAAGAATAGTCCTTGTGCAGCCACTGAAATGAGAACTTTCAAACAAATAATTTGTAACTCTCAAATATTCCTGGTATTTGACATTTTTCCTCTCTCTCTCATGTGATACCTTTACAATCTGGCTGGTTGTTCAATTAAGAATATAGCAATAATAACATTATATATATTATTGGTTTCAGAATTGAATGATCTATTATTTGATCCCAATTATTAGATCACAGTTTATTATTGTTTTGATTTATGGCCAAAGTTAAGGTTTTTAGTTGTGCTATTTTAAAAAAAAAAATTTCAACATACAACAAATAGTTATGAGCAAATAATATAAGTGGAAATACATAGTTTTAAAATAAAAAAATAAATATATACCACTTTGGGTATGTTACGCACTGGCTTCTAATATGAGAAATTAATCTCCTATTTTAAATTTATATAATTTATGGCTCGTTGTAAACAGTGCCTAACAAAGGACGATACCATAGAGTCAACAATATTAAAGATACGACACCCAAAACAGTTGCCAGTTACGATTAATTAAGATTTATTAAGTATTAATACAATAACAAAACAAAAGAAATATAATTATAAATCATCAACTTACAGTATGGTAGATCTTTTACCGGTACACAGTTAATGCAATGTGCCAATTAATAATGATGAATGCGAAATAAACACATAATACACAAATACACAATACACGTCTCGTGAAATTAATAATTATCTATCTGAGTCTCCGTCTGTGCCTGTCAATCCCTTATATAGGCCGCGTAAGCCCAGCCTTCCATAAAAGACTTATGACGTGTTGTTTACATTTCTCGGGTTATCGAGCACATTAGAGAAAATACCAGGAGAGAATCTAACATGTTTAATTGGTAAACACGGTTGTAAACAAGATACATCAAACGAATAGGCCATGCCCATTACTGTCTGCTAGGATTCTAATTTAGGTCAAGTAAAGTTCACGCACAGAAAAAGTGTGCTACATAACAGGGTACAAATAAACACATATTGGTTATGAAAACTCATATCTTTAACAAAGGGAACACATTAACTCCTAAATTTTCTGTCTGTTTGATAAACCTCATAAAGATTTTCACATTATTGCATTACTTTAAGTATCCATTGCACTTGCAACAGCATGATGAGTTATAACCATTCATATTGCTGCAGTAGAAACATGAGGATTGTCAACAACATGATGAGTTATAACCATTCATATTGCTGCAGTAGAAACATGAGCATTGTCAACAGCATGATGAGTTATAACCATTCATATTGCTGCAGTAGAAACATGAGCATTGTCAACAGCATGATGAGTTATAACCATTCATATTGCTGCAGTAGAAACATGAGCATTGTCAACAGCATGATGAGTTATAACCATTCATATTGCTGCAGTAGAAACATGAGCATTGTCAACAGCATGATGAGTTATAACCATTCATATTGCTGCAGTAGAAACATGAGCATTGTCAACAACATTTGTCACTGCATAATTAATTCTACTATGGAACTAAAAAGACTAAAGCTATCCGATTTTTTTAGTTATTCAAGACATGCATTTTTACTATTTCTATTTATTCCAACTAATTTTATCACAATCCAATCAACTAGGCACAGCAGTTGCATTCAGATTAACATACATTAAAAATGGAAGCAATTATACTGTTTCATTAGATATTGAATCTGCAAGAACCAATAATTTATTTACCTTTGTTGTTCCATACTGGTATTGTGTTACAGTTATGAAATAAGTATATCTTATCCTCTCCTGCTTCCAGAGGCGTAGCGAGGGGGGGGGGGCAGGGGGGAGACAGATGTCCCCGGGCGCAAACTAGTTAGGGGCGCCAAAATGTGCTTTGATATTATATTATTGGTAAAAATAATGGATTTGAGAGTTGACAAAAAGAAAAGGGGGCGCTTTAAAATGGATCTTGTCCTCGGGCGCCAAACACCCTCCCTACGCCTCTGCCTGCTTCTCTTGATAATTTAATATGGTTGCTCCAGGGACTAAATTTGCATGCATATCCTTTTCATCTGGTGCTGATGGTGTTGAACTATACCTGCTTATCAGCAGTTTATTCTCTTTTAGAATTTTGTACAGTATAGGCCTGTTTCTCTTGATAATTCAATATGGTTGCTCCAGGGACCAAATTTGCATGCATATCCTTTTCATCTGGTGCAGATGGTATTGAACTGTACCTGCTTATCAGCAGTTTATTCAGTTTCTCTTTTAGAAACTTTTACAGTATAGGCCTGTACATTGGTATAGGCCTGAACATTGGCCTAAATTAAAACAATTTATGAATTCAATAATCCAGTGAATAAACTCCAGTACCAGCTCAGACAAGTGGGGCATGTAGGTTAGAAGTCCAATGAGTGTTATAAATTTTGTTCATCAACTGGAATGTCCAATTAAAATCAAGTTGGCTTAGTTTCCATAACATTGCAGGTGCAATTGTTGTTTACATTTACAAAGCATCTCCAGCCTTGTTGATGGAAACTGACAGTGAAAAGTGATAAAGTTGAATGTACTCCTTATCTTGTATTGTTTTGGACAGGTTTCAGTGGGTAGCTCATGTAAAAAAAATCCAAAAAACTATAAATATGAAATAAAATAATAATAAAATATGCACTTGATAAGCTGGAACAAGTAGTTAAAGAAGTAAACTTTAAAAAATTATTTAAAATTTTTATAAAGTCCACTGTTTCAGTATACTATACCGGTATCAATGTAAATATAGTTATAAAGTTCACTGTTACAGTATATCGGTATCAATGTAAATTTAGTTGTTTCCACTATTTCCACAAAATTTGAGTGTGTTTTAACCACTCGAAACAAAAAAATTTTTTTACCTTCAATAGGGAACTTTCGATCAGGCAAAAATACTCAGTCATCAACAGTTCTGACTAGATCATGTTTTTATCTGGCTAGCATCACTTCTTGACCTGAAGTATAATCAACAACATCATTGTAATAGAAATGTTGAGCCTTTTTTTTTGGTATCCCTTTGTGCTATTGGTCTTCATTGAAGGTATAAGCAAAAGAGGAAAGGGAGAGAAATCCCTTGTATAAATTAAATCATGAATCTGACTTGAGATGAAATAGTTTTGTAGAGAAATCCCTTGTATAAATTAAATCATGAATCTGACTTGAGATGAAATAGTTTTGTCATTGCATAGATTGGTTTTAGTACTATTTAAGTTTAATTTAATCAAGTGAGGCCTAGACTTGACTAAATGAGGCCTAGACTTGACTAAGTGAGGCCTAGACTTGACTAAATGAGGCCTAGACTTGACTAAATGAGGCCTAGACTTGACTAATTGAGGCCTAGACTTGACTAAGTGAGGCCTAGACTTGACTAGGTGAGGCCTAGACTTGACTAGGTGAGGCCTAGACTTGACTAAATGAGGCCTAGACTTGACTGAGGCCTAGACTTGACTAAATGAGGCCTAGACTTGACTAAGTGAGGCCTAGACTTGACTAAGGGAGGCCTAGACTTGACTAAGTGAGGCCTAGATTTAATTAAGTGAGGCCTAGATTTGACTAAGTGAGGCCTAGATTTGACTAGAACACACTATAGTAGTGGTTGGCAAACTCATTAGTCAAAAGAGCCAAAAATCAGCAGCGTTTAGCCGACCACTGCACTATAGGAAACACAAATTTATAAACGAACTCACAGTTTGCAAGTCAACATTTTTATTTTCTTTTATTTCCTTACTAGGCATCAACACGTGTCCAGAAGGGAAGCAATGTAAGCCGTTCCATCAAATATTCAAAGATTCCAATCACTTTTGTGAAAACCTCATGGGCAACTCCTTTAAAGTTGTTTCAGACACAGAAGATTGTTTCCTGCTGTGGTTTGACGCAGATAAACCCAATCCTAACGAAAGAGTGGCCCGAAAGAAAGCGTCTGAGATTCTTGGTCTGCCATTTAGTGACAGCCTTATGGATGGAAGTGGCTCCGAGTCGTGTTACCTTGCTAGTTTCAATGTATTATTGTTTGGTCTGGTAAATTTAGTTTTTAAGTATGTTTCATTTTGATTGATGTGGTTTAATGAGGTAAAAGTTGTCTGTATGAGGAACAAAACAACAATTACATGAATAAAGTCAAATGTGAATATGAAAGTAAAATATGAACTAAGACAGTAAAATATGAACTAAGACAGTAAAACATGAACTAAGACAGTAAAATATGAACTAAGACAGTAAAATATGAACTAAGACAGTAAAGTATGAACTAAGACAGTAAAACAGGAACTAAGACAGTAAAATATGAACTAAGACAGTAAAATATGAACTAAGACAGTAAAATATGAACTAAGACAGTAAAACAGGAACTAAGACAGTAAAATATGAACTAAGACAGTAAAATATGAACTAAGACAGTAAAATATGAACTAAGACAGTAAAATATGAACTAAGACAGTAAAACAGGAACTAAGACAGTAAAATATGAACTAAGACAGTAAAATATGAACTAAGACAGTAAAATATGAACTAAGACAGTAAAATATGAACTAAGACAGTAAAACATGAACTAAGACAGTAAAATATGAACTAAGACAGTAAAATATGAACTAAGACAGTAAAATATGAACTAAGACAGTAAAATATGAACTAAGACAGTAAAATATGAACTAAGACAGTAAAATATGAACTAAGACAGTAAAATATGAACTAAGACTCATTTTATACTTGATTCTGTCATTTTATACTTGAAAGACAGTAAAATATGAACTAAGACAGTAAAATATGAACTAAGACAGTAAAATATGAACTAAGACAGTAAAATATGAACTAAGACAGTAAAACAGGAACTAAGACAGTAAAATATGAACTAAGACAGTAAAATATGAACTAAGACAGTAAAATATGAACTAAGACAGTAAAATATGAACTAAGACAGTAAAACATGAACTAAGACAGTAAAATATGAACTAAGACAGTAAAATATGAACTAAGACAGTAAAATATGAACTAAGACAGTAAAACAGGAACTAAGACAGTAAAACATGAACTAAGACAGTAAAATATGAACTAAGTAGGGGTGTGCCGGACCCCGGTCCGGAATCCGGTTCCGCCGGATTTTGCACTATCCGGTGAAATCCGGTTCCGCCGGATTTACATGTATCCGGAACAACCGGATTCCGGAATCCGGAATATACCGGATTTCGGAATTTGCCAGATTTTGTGACTCACCGGATCATAATCTGAAATAAAAGTAATTCTCTTTCCCGAATTCCACACGATCACGATACATTAATCGATTGTTTCGAGCGTTGAGCTTGTTTAATGTTTAATATTCCGTACATACCAGAGGCTAGAGTCAGCACCGCTAATATTGGCCAATAGTGTAGGGACTTTGATAAGAAAATTTAAACTTTTTGTAAAAATAAACCAATGGCATATTTGAAAAGATGTAATTTTTGAAAGAATTATAACACCAAAATCATATTTTTAGCTGTTGTAGTTTTAAAGTTATGAATTTTTAAAGTACGACTTGGTTTGTCATTTTTTAACATGGACTGCATCTCCACATTCTGTGATCTCATTCC